TCCTGTCCGAAACATGAAATGCTGCAGGTAGTCATCAGTACTGGACTAGATGAACTAATGGACTTAGTATAAGGTAGCTTTCCTATGTTCCTAATTTGTTACTGTTGTAAGCCATTATCTGCTTAATACTTTTTTACACCCCCCCCAAAGTTTAAAAAAGAATGCTGAATTGCTATAATAGTGTTGCTGTTAATTTATGTCAATGTAGATAACCTCTGCGTATGCAAAGTCGTTCAGCTTGAATCGCCACACTTTTGTCTGTAAATCCTACTCAAACTCTGTTGTGGGATCAGACAAGCAGTATAAGTGGATCTTGCACTCAGAATGGAGAAATTGGTTGTACGTCGTGTTTTAATTAAGATGCACCAATAGAAATGAAAAGAGTGAGTTACTAGAATAGAAACAACTATCTGATGGGTTATGCTCTGCAATTACTGTCGTCTTCATTTCATTATTCGACTTTTCATGCATGTATTTACAAAAACTTCCCAAAAGATATAATTATCTTCTAGAAATAACCCGTTTCTTTTGTGCCGTGAGTGATTATTAATTTTCATGTACATATGTTGCCAGAAGTGACAAGCTGGCAGAAGCCGTTCCTTTTAATGTACTTGATTCCAGTGGAGACCAATAGATTGCATAGATACAACTATAATTTGCTCGTCTAATGGACATGAACTTACTCTCAACCTATTAATAAATTATGCAACTGCTAGCCTTGCATCGGAGATCCCCTCATATCCCACAAGCTTCTGAAGTCAAGACAAAAATGGAAATGGTTTAGATTTTGTTTGTATTAGCAGTGTTTAACATTTATAGTGCTATCTATCTATCTATCTATCTATGCATTCATATGACAGTAGTGCTACTATTATACCCATCATTAGTCAGGATCTGACCCATGAATTGAAGACAAGTGTATTATCAGGAGTTTAATATTTTTTATCCCAAACAATTACAAAGTTTAAACGAAAGCAAGTAGACATCAGGGATCATATTGTACTGTGTGCACTAAATTGGAACATAAATTAGGATAACCCAATAGGTACAAAAAGAGACGATTTGGGGGGGGGGGGAGAGAGAGAATTCTTTAAACAGTTCTTTTGATGACTAAGAGTAAAAGTTAGGGTTTGTTTACTTTGCTTACTCCAGTCAGTGTTCAGTTGAAACTGATTGTGGTTGCAGCTGCTAGTTCAATCTTGGAAACATCTGCAATTGATCAAGGTGCACCTGGAAGATGTTTTCAGGGTCAAGCTATATGACTTTGAAGAGAGACCAGTGTTCATGGTTAAACTCAAAAGGATTTTTCCCCTTAATGTGGAAAATAACCTAAGATTTAATCTTCTGTTCAACCACTGTGATGGATGCTTGATGGCACAGAACATCTGTCTTTGTGCCCTACTTTTGCCTTTTACTCTTTGTTTGTATGTTACACCTAGCGCAAAGAAGGATCACAAACTCCATTTTTAGGGGATCGTAGTTCATTTTGGGGGGGGGAAATGTTTGAGTAGTTGCAAATTTAAACTTAAGCCCTGAAATTAATAAGAATGGCATTTACAATTTTGAAATGAAGGCTTCTATTCAAATGTCCATTTTTCGCAAATGGTTTCAATGATTTTTAAAAAGGGATTCCCTAAAAAACATAGGCTAATCATATATAGGAAACAGCTGTTGTTATGCATTAACGTGGGCATGTGTGTCTTGAAGGTCTGCTGGCACTGTGTTTCTGTGGCCAGTGTAAATTTAAAAAAAATTCCCTCAGTGTAGAGGGAATTGTTAAAAATCTCTCCCCAGTGTCACGGTTCAGTATCAAGACTGCCTTAATATATACTTTTTTTCTAATTGCTAGCAGGGTTTCCAACTTGAATACAATATGGGGAGGGGCATGTAAGCCCCACCCCACATAGTCCACCACAAGACATGGCAAATGCACAACTTTGGGGGGAGGCAGCCCCCTAAAATATTCAATGGGGGGGGGGCAAAAGGACCTTGGCCCCTAGGAGTTGGAGCCTATTAGTATGTAGATGTTAAGTTTAGGATAACCATTTTAAAAGTGTGAGGCAGTCTCATTCACATTTAGATGTTGAGCATAGAGAGACATTCACAGAAACATATCTACCTAGATGAGCAAAACTAAAAGGCAATGCTTAAATAACCTCATTTGCATAAAGTAAGGGTATTTTTGTTTGTGCTGTAGTAGTCAATGTGTAGATCAAAGAAAAAATAAAGTCTCTTGAAGACACATCATTTTGGTTTCTGGTGGCATTTTACTGTTGATTATTTTAAAATAAACTGAATATATGACAGCACTAATGAGCATAATATGATCATGAACAGAAAATGGGTGTCGTGAGATCCTTAAATTCTTATAGTTAAAAACTACTGATTTGATTAAATGTTAGCTGTTCAAATGTTTTTATTTTATATCGCTTTAAAAACAATACATATAAGCAGTTGCCCATAGATTGTATGGGATTTTTTTGCTTCCTGTTGCCTTTTCTATATTCTTGTATCACTGAACCATGTGGATATTTCTTGAAAATTTGGGCCCCATTTACTATATTATGAAAATATAGACATTTTGCTTCCTGTTGCATGTTTTAGCACAGTTCAATATGATCCACATAGAAAAAACAGAATAGGATATTTAGACATTCTAGACATCTTAGACTCATTTCAGGAGCTTGTGATAGTATTGGGGGAAATGAAATATACAGGTAACCTCATGCTGGCTAGGCAGGTGTGCAGATCTTGCATGCTTTTAATAAACTCACAAAATAATGCAGTATATATCCTTGTCCCCTGGAGGATTGCTACTGTCAGCCATGCTCTTCTCTAGGATACAGTAAGATGTAAGCAACTCAAGCATAATAGGAAATTTAAGAAACGTTAGTGATTTATAATTACCAGCTATGTAGTTGTCAGGTCACATTTTAGTTCAGGGGCAAAATCTTGATCATTGATGATATTTCTACATGTTCCATACTAGAGAAAAGACAGGGAATTACAGTACTTTGTGCATAGCTGGAACAAATTGCTGATGAATTTCTGTCTCAAACACATATTGTCTTTAAAAGCATTAAATTAATCAAGCTTTTAAATGATGGATAATGTGTGTGCATGCACCCCTTGTAAGCAAGGCACTTTACAGCAACTGTAGAAGCAATAGGTTGTACTAATGATGTTTCTTCAACAAAAAAGTGATGAGGCAATAAGCTGAACTAGCCCAGTGAAGCCTTTACAGAAAGTGCACTGTAGTCATCAATCAGAGGGAAAGGAAGAAAGCTAATGCACAGCAAGGAAATCAGAAGAAAAATACTTCCCCCCCCCAAAAAATAGGTCAGAAAAGAAGATTAGACCTGAATGTTTTTTTTTACAAGTGAGTCTATTGAGGATTGTAATGAGCCATTTTAGTGAACCCTTCTTTCCTCCTTAATTGCTTGATGAAATATTTATTGTTCATTTGTATTCAGCTTCCAGAGCTATCTGGCTATAATAATACCTTTCACAAATACTCTTTTCGCTTTTGGTATGGAGTGAAGTCAATAAGTTTATTATTGCTGTTTCCTTATAAAAGAAATGTTGCAATAAACCTCATGTGAGAATTTGCACCCCGTGTTTCCAGTTTCTTTTCCCTTGTTGTTTATTTGCAGACTGCAATTTTTAGGCTACAACCCCCCCCAACCCGTGCACTTTTATCATTTAAAAAACCTGTTTTACTATTTATATTTTAAATGTTTTTATTTTATATTTTTGTAAAGTGTGTAGAGGTTTTTGTTACAATCAAGTGATATATAAATTTTGTTAAATAAATACATCAAACCTATTTTCATAAACTTTTTTATGTACGATTTGCTCTGTAACGTCCATAGATAACTTTTGATACATTGGCACGTGTGAGCTTATATTTCACAGTAAATTTCAATAGGATTGCAAGAATGGATTTTGTTATTTTTACTAGGGCTGTTTTACTAGATTATAATACTAGACTTTCATACAGTGGCCTGGTTCAGCCATCACATGATTAAACCATAGTTAAAATTTGTTATACTTTTAGTCCACCCTTCTGAAGATAGGCAACCCCATACAATATATTTAATTGGGAAGAGTTTGAGGTGGGCCATCTAAGTGATGATTTTGAGTCATTACTAAAGTGACCCCTACAGTGATAATTGATGATTAGTGAAGAACATCACAATGCGAACATAGCAGTAGGTAGTGGACAGGTCCTTACCAGCAAAAATACTGATTTTCTTTTTAAAGGAGTATTTCCCCTCTGTTAATTGCATAGTTACTCAATTAAATAAATTATTATGGCTACCAGATTTAAGGCAAATTACATGTTGATTAACAAAATCAGATCGTTACGGTCATACTTTTGTTTTTGATAGATTCAAATTGTGACAATGCTGCATTTATTCATTTGAAAACTTTTACTCTTGAGTTTTAAGATTGTCTAAATGCTTAAAAGGTGTGTCATAGGCTACAGCCAGGCCATGATGAGATCCTTATTTTTGTGATATCCCTGAGTCGCACAGAGATTTTGCACTGAACCACCAAGCAGGAACAGGATGTTTTCAGTTTAATTTCCTTGGGGTTCTGTTGGAAGAGTTGGACAAAGGGTGATTAGTTATCTGACAAATGGTTTATAGTCCTCTACAATCTTAAACAAGTCCCTAAGTAGGACTAGTTCTGGTAGCTGGATTCAGTGACCAGAGTTAAGAAGAACCTGCATTCCAACAAATTCAGACCACCTAAGTGTGATGAGGGACAGGAGAGCAAGTGTGAAGACAATTAATTTAAAAAATCCCCTTGTATGTAGAGGTAGGTGGGTGGGTGTGACTCCCCGTCACCCACAAATGGTCTTAACTTTGCCACCCATACTTTGTGACACTTAAAACCATCTTACTTGTTTGTCAATTCAGTTTTTGCCTTCTTTTGATTTTTTATGATACTGAATAGTTTTATTTGTGTTGTAGAATAATCAACCATGACTACAGAATCTGGATCAGATTCTGAATCAAAGGATCAGGATCAAGAGCAGAAAGAAGCTTCGGGTCAACAAGGATCGGGTGGGACAGGGGCCCAAGGACAGCAGCAGCAACAGCAACAGCAACAGCAGCTGAGTGAAGAGCACCAGAATGCATTAGAACAATTTTCTGGTGTTGCAGCTCACAGCACCCCTGTCAAAAAGGAACCGGTAAGATCAGAACTCGGACAATTTCTTTAAAAGTCTTAACATACACTAGAAAGCCAACGCATAACTTTACTTCAACACAGATATCAGTCTGATTAAACAGTACTCTTGCACACTGATTGGTGATCTACTGGGGATGGAGGGGAGAGGTTAGATACTATTCCCCTCTCTCAATTTCAGTCATATAACATTTTTGTAATTTTTGACAGATTGTCTTACATGCTGGGCTTAATTTTTTAAACCTATTGCCATTGTTAAAAGGGGGGGGGACCTTTCGCTATTCATCACAGTGTTAGATAACTGCAAATTTTGGAGAGGTTGGAAACACATTTCAGCTTTGACACCTGTTGAAATCCCATTTTATTTGGGGTTGAGTGATGTTTGAAACTAACAAAACCTTCCATTCATTAAGGCCTGGTACTTTTCAAAATGGGGACGTGGGTGGTGCTGTGGGTTAAACCACTGAGCCTAGGACTTGCTGATTAGAAGGTCGGCGGTTCGAATCCCCGCGACGGGGTGAGCTCCCGTTGCTCGGTCCCTGCTCCTGCCAACCTAGCAGTTCGAAAGCACGTCAAAGTGCAAATAGATAAATAGGTACCGTTCCGTTGGGAAGGTAAACGGCGTTTCCATGTGCTGCTCTGGTTTGCCAGAAGCAGCTTAGTCATGCTAGCCACATGACCTGGAAGCTGTACGCTGGCTCCCTCGGCCAATAAAGTGAGATGAGCGCCGCAAGCCCAGAGCCGGCCATAACTGGACATAATGGTCAGGGGTCCCTTTACCTTTATCTTTACTTACAAAATGACTACATTTTAACTACTTTCAGTTGTGTTAACATTGAAAAATTACTCAGCCCTGAGGCTTTCCCCCTCTTTAACAAAAGCATTGCTTTTGGGACATAAACAAGGTGCATCACATTAGAATGTTATTGGGAAAGGAAACAAAGGAGGCTAACAGTAATGACTGGGATTAAATACTTCACAACTTTGTTTGAAGAGATGGTATGTGTACTGTATTAGCATTAAGCTAAGAGTGGTGTAACAGGGACGCGGGTGGCGCTGTGGGTAAAAGCCTCAGCGCCTAGGGCTTGCCGATCGAAAGGTCGGCGGTTCGAATCCCCGTGGCGGGGTGCGCTCCCGTTGTTCGGTCCCAGCGCCTGCCAACCTAGCAGTTCGAAAGCCCCCCCCCCCCGGGTGCAAGTAGATAAATAGGGACCGCTTACTAGCGGGAAGGTAAACAGCGTTCCGTGTGCGGCTCTGGCTCGCCAGAGCAGCGATGTCACGCTGGCCACGTGACCCGGAAGTGTCTCCGGACAGCGCTGGCCCCCGGCCTCTTGAGTGAGATGGGTGCACAACCCTAGAGTCTGTCAAGACTGGCCCGTATGGGCAGGGGTACCTTTACCTTTACCTTAAGAGTGGTGTGCATGGATAACCAGCTGCATTGCCCCCTTTAAAACAAGGCAGGTATGGAATAGGTTCCCCATCTCTAACTAACTACATAGTGGGCTTTGGTTAGAATAATACATACATTCTTTACTCCATCAACAACAGGTGTTGTTGGGCTAATCAGACATTATTATATCAAACTTTGAACCAAAGTTACAAACCAAAATGTATAGATTAGTCCGGTTACAAATAAATATTTAGATTCCCCCCACACAAACACACACAAAAAAAGCAGTGGGAAGTCCTCCTGTGTGAAAATTTGAGCAATTTCAGTGTTGCTCTGAGTCTAGCTGAAGGTAGCTTGATCCAAAAAGAGCCTTAACACATTTTTTCTTCCCTGTTAGATGTTAATTTATGGTGCCATTAGCTAGATAATCAAATTGCTTGTGGAATGCATCACAAATAACCTTTGAAAAAGAGTTCATCACACATGAAAGAATGTGCATTTATGCATGTAAAATAAAAAATAAAATACTGAATGCAAGTTGTGTCTCCCTGGTCATTTTGCCCTAGATAACTGCATGAACAGGATGTCAGGCTTCTTTAGGAAGATGAGACTTAATTCCCTGTGAAGGTGCATGAACACATCTTGACAGTTTGGGGTCCTGCTCTAATAGTTCCTGGCATGTTTTTGTGCACAGCACAAATTACTATAAAGGTTCTTCTGTGACAGTCTAACCTGGATAAATTCTCCCCGGCTTAGTTTTGTCCTGGTTAGCTACTTCTAGACATTGGTATCCACATCCTTCCCTTTTGAAATACTAATGCTCCTGTTTATAGTTCAAACTAAACATTACCAGCAGGTTTGTGTGGGTGTATATATCTGTTTTCTCTGCACCACCCACTCGTTTTCACAAGCAAATGTAATTCCTTTCACCATGTGCTCTACTATATTCAGAGAAGCCCTGCACTTTCCCACATATTGTGCAACACACAATTCTTTGGCTCTGAAAGCAGATTAAGGCTTTTGGCCAGATTTGATTCATTCTCATGGAGACTTGTTACAATGAAGGAAACGGACTTGGAGGATTAATTTGTGATGGATGTCAGTTCTGCAGGCTGCTGACTTACTATGAAGTCATTTCGAGCTGAATCAGATTTGTTTTTTTTTATGATGGCCAGATGAAAATAAGATTAAATTTCTAAGCTTTAACTAACGTATTACTACATTTCAGTTGCTGCTGAAATGTTGCTTCTGAACTAGTTGTGGAAGAGCTGTGTACAGAGTTAGCTGCTACTAAAGTGGCAATGCCATTGGAATGTAACTGCCAGGTGGGAAGAGCACACTCTGTTGGCTGGACTATAATCGTCATCCCCTTCTTTCCTGAAAGGGGGCATATTGCATTCAGCCATATGTCACATTGGATCTTTTAAACTCAGACTCCTTTTTATGCATTATGAATTATCAGCTCTGCCCAGATGTTTAGAAAGTTTGTAGGCATTTTAATTTAGTCTATTTCACTGCAGTTTTAACCTTCTGTATGTTTAAAATTATGGTTGCAAATTTTTTAGAGATAGTTTTATTGTTATATCTTTTTTTAAAAAAAAACTGCTTTGCGGTTTTTCTACAATTAAGTGGCATATACATTTTATGAAATAAAAATAAATAATCAAATCTGATCTCTCTGTTAAATGTAAATATTGTGTGTGTACCTATGATGAAAAAACTAAATTATTAGAAATATAAAACTCAAGACTCCTGCAAAGGTTAATATATGTCATATACCGAAATGATAATTCTCAACACTTTACACCATGAATTAGCAGTTATAAAATGGAGCAGCAGTTTCATTGACTAGAAAAGCTTTTCAAAACATTGAATGAAATTTCTCTGCACTGCAGTTACGTTGCAGTTTCAAAACGTGGCTCTAACTAGTCCTCTGTAAGGGATGTCTGATTGTATCTTGTGGTTCTGAAAGCTCGCTGCAATCGGCCACATTTTTTTAATCTGAAATTAGAACTTAATCTCCCTATTTTCTCTTTGTAGGGCAGTGACAAAGAACGTGAATTTGCTGCTGCAGCAGCAAAACAACTGGAATACCAGCAGTTTGAAGACGACAAGCTCTCTCAGAAATCATCCTCAAGCAAGCTTTCCAGATCTCCTCTAAAGATTGTCAAAAAACTGAAAAATATGCAGTGCAAAGTAATCCTTCTAGATGGCTCAGAATACGGCTGTGAAGTGGAGGTAAATACTGGAAGGGAGGGAGGAAGATTTTTTACTATATATGATCTAAGGTGTTTATTTGGTGAAGGCTGGTTGCAAAGGAAACTTACTTCTCTTTTATATCAGAAGGAGAGTACCTGTAAGAAAGGAAATATTAAAAAAGCATGTGGTTTGTGTGTATTCAGTCTGGAATACTGGCAGTAGAAAACAAAAACAGAAATTGAATAATCCTTCTCCCAAGGCTCTATGTGATAATTCACCTAGCAATTCAGCCTTTCCCTCAAAATATATTTGCCCTTGTGATATTGATGAGCAGTGAGAGTACAGAGCAGCAGGAAACACCAGCAAGGAAAAGAGACAGTAACGATACAGATCGGGAACTGCTGGTTATTCTGTACCGCAGTTGGATTCTATAGCTGTGTCTGAATCTATCTGAAGTGTGCTGTTTCAGGCTTTCTATCAGTCAAGAGACTTTTGGTTCACATATTCTTCAAAGAAAGGCCTGTCTAGAATTTCACACTTTTATTCTCAGGGTATGAATCTTGGTGATAACTGTTCAGAAAGAGCAAGCAATTTGTATAGCATCAAAGGCATCCTTGTGAGGCAGTGGTAAAAAAAGCCAATTCTGTGCTAGGGATTATTGGGAAATTGACTGAAAATAAAACTGCCACCAAGATTGCAATGCCTGTACAGTGGTACCTCGTGTTAAGAACTTAATTCGTTCCGGAGGTCCGTTCTTAACCTGAAACTGTTCTTAACCTGAAGCACCACTTTAGCTAATGGGGCCTCCCGCTGCCGCCATACCTCAGGAGCACAATTTCTGTTCTCATCCTGAAGCAAAGTTCTTAACCCAGGGTACCACTGTATAATAAATATGTTGTGGGTGTATTTGTAGTGCTCTCCATTTAATATAGATATATTTAGAACTGGGAAAAGGTGTAGAAAGAGGAAGCAAGGTGATACAGTGGTTGGACCACCTTCCTAATGAGGAAATGTAGGGGCTTTTTAGCTTAGGAAGAAAGGTAACAGTGTGGGGACCTGATAGAAGTTTCTGATAATGGGCTGGGACATGATAGTTTGCCTATGTAGAGAAAATGACTAGGGACCTTTTATCTTACAGTAGTAGAATTCAGAGTCACCAAATGAAATAGATTAACAAACAGTTCAGAAGAAAAGTACTTATTCACAATGCTTAGTTCATATGGAAATTTGTGATCACAAGCTATGGTGATGATTACTTTAAAAAGAAAACTTGACGCCCAACGCCTTTGACCTAGGAGGCTCTCCAACATTAAATAAAAAGCAAAACACATCCTATTTCTGCCCCAGTGATGCCACTACTCCTTGTTTTGCTACTTTTCTCTGCTTGGGCTGAGAGCACCCTTATTCCTTATAAATCAGAACAATGTGAGCAGGGTAGAAGGTCAGGCATCAAGGGAGAAGACAGCAGGGAAATATTTCTCCAGTCAGGAGTCCACCACAGTTCCACCAAATTCTGAAAATAGTGCTTAACATTATTCGTAGACTAAAAGGACAGAGCTTTGATGATTGGAAAAAAGGGTTAGCTTATAGAACATACATTCCAGTTCTAATGCAAACAAGTTTGTTAACAATTCCTACCTACCTTATACCTATCCCTAGGGTCTCAAGTGAAGGCTTAGAACAGCTGTGTGTGTAACAAGGACAGGTTTGGGAGACGTCACCTAGCTTCTCTGACACGTCTCAACTGTCAGTGAAGCTGTGTGCTCGCTTGCTCTCTTTCTCTCCCCCCCCCTTCCCCTAGATTATGTTAAGGAGAAGGGGCCTTCCAGTTGATGGGCAGCTCATCAGGCACAGCTATCAAGCCTGCCACATCACATCCTAATGGGGAACTTTAAAAAATGTGGATGAGAGGTCTATCAGTGGCTATTAGCTGCTATAACTAAATGCTTTAGTTTATAGGATGTCTACCACTGAATACCAGTTGCCACTGAATACCAGGGATCCCATTCCAGCCATCCCATAACACATGGCTCAGAATTCAGAGAGTCCAATGAGCTGTCTAGGGATGAGATGTCAAGATATTAAGGATAATATAGTTGTCCAGCAGAGAGCATAGCAGGATATGGTGTTGCTTCAATTCTGGCTCTGTTCCAACTAAGCAGGTTTATAGCTGGTTTAGCTGCTGTACCCCTTCCTGACCTTCTATCAGAGTTCTGATTCTGAGTGCGGGGAGTGGGTTGGTGTTGATGCCAGCCAGTTTGTGTTGGTTCCATCAGAACTGTGGCTTCCTTAAGTGGGATTAATAATTGGACCAGCTCTTCCTCCAAGGTCTCACCCAGAACCGTGCTGGTGCTGCTAGGTGCATATGATGCCCGAGGGGACATAGAAAATAAGAAGAGCCCTGCTATATCAGGCCAAATACAATCTGGTCCAGCATCTTGTTGTGACAGTGTCCAACCAGATCTCAATGGGATGAGACAACATGATTGGGAGGGCTGTTTCCTTTATGGCCAGTATCTTGAAGTTATCTGGTTGGCCTTTGCTGAAAATAGGACGCTGAAAATAACAAATCAGTTTATTCATATTTGAGTTTCTCTTCAAATGGAGGGGGAAATCCCAAGTGTGGGTGTGCATTGACAGAGTAATGTAAATGTTGGTCATGTAAGCCTGCAAGATTTTGTTGTGTATATAGGTCAATAGATTCTCAGCAAAAAATGTGCTTTCTAGGTTTGTCAGTACTGGTAGCAGCATAGGTCAAGAGTCTCTTGCAATATAAAACAGGGATAGGATTTCCTTCTCCTTCCTGGAAGGCGTGACCAAGGCAAGCAACCAGAACTTTATTAAATTTATATCCCAAAAGAACCCGTGGCAACAAGCACACAGGTGATAAAACAATTAAAACTTCTAAAAGCAAAACAATTCCAACACAGAAACAATTATCCAACGCACCAGGTTCAGTTGGGGATGAAGGAACAGAGGCTGTAAAAATGTCTGTGTCTAACTTCCTTCACTGAATGGCATGGCCGTCCACCACTTCCTCCCACAGCACACACATCTTGGAACCCAATGGTCATATTTTGCCAAGTCAGAATTATTTTCTCCTTGAATTAGTAGGAAAACCTTGTTTTGTTTCATTCTATTCTGTGACAAAGATAGTTGGTGCAACAAGGACCTCCAATGGAAAGGAAGGGTATTTAATTGTTTCTGTGTAACTAGCCAACCCAGCAGGGAGGGAGACGAGGAAGTGTCTCAGGAGCTTTAAATCTTTAAATCTATAGTTCTGATTGAAATTACCTGCCCTGTGCATTCATGCTGTTATTAAGCTTATGGGGGAGGGGGCTTAATAGTAGCATGACACCAGTCATGATGAGAATCACATGGTGGTGGTGAGAGTTAACCTGCTGAGGAAGCATCAAGGAGGGAAGAGAAGGCTGGAAGAGAAAGAGTGTGAAGTACTTCTGATCCCATCCACTACCATTTCTGCCACCATCTCACTGCTAGCAAATTACCCACCTTTTGCTTGCCTCGCCTGAGATGTTCTTAGCTGCACTGACATTTGAGGTAAACTGTATATTACTGTGTCTGTTACAGTTTTTCATAACGGATTTAACAAAATATCTATAACTTTTTGCCCATTTTTAATTCTCTTTTTTGAAATGGAGGTTCATGTGGTGGTGAATATGCTCTCATATTGACTGGAAGTAGAATCCACATTTTCTAACAGAACTGTCTTCCCTCTCGAACTCTGACCATATTAGTCAGCACCTGGAGAGTTAACCCCTTCATGTTGCAAATGGAGTTGAGAAATGCCTTCTATTGACTATTTTACAAGGTTTCTTTCAAGCCCCATTTCATCCAGATTGGAGTGTGTGGAACAGGTCCCTGTGAGCACCAGAGAATGCCTGCCAGAGCCGTGTTAACAACTCATGCTTTAGAATCTGACCAGTTTGAGTGAATCATGAGTACAATTAGGCAAATTTGCTATTTAACGTTGTTATTTCTAAAACCCAAAATATTTTGACATACAACAGACAATCTTGCCAGCATTAGCTTATATTGATAACAAGCTTGTTATGCTGCACTCATCTTTGTGAGCTTTCATATTAAATTTCTTGTCTATGGATCTTACAAGATTCGAATACTACCAGCAAACAATTTCTTGCTAATATTTCTCGAACAATATACAGCTTTTAGCTGCCATTCCACCCGACAGACTACAAAAGCACAGGGAGAAATGGAAGTGGGCCAACTTGGAAGTGGCTCCTCTTTCCTTCAGCTACCAGCCAGCAGTAGCCATTACAAAGGGAGAGATACCACCTGGGCAAGATTGAAAGTGAGCTAGCAGGAGGACCAGCTCAATTGGGCTTATTTTCTCCCTGGACTGTTCCATTCAATCCACTTATTCTAAAAATTGTGCCTGAGTTGCCTTTTCTCTCTTTCCCCCTGCCCATCTCTTTTTATTTAAAATATTTATTGCCCACTCTTAACTGCACAGCAGCTTTAGAGCAGGTTACAGGTTAGAACTTTGAATTCATGCTACAAGGGTTGCCACACTGGGATTCTTGAAAGAGAGAGGCTGGAGTAACTAGCGTGGGTCTGTTGCACACCAATTGCTTCAGACAGATTATAAAACCATGTGTGGGGTGGGCAGCTTGTATGTATGAGGATGTGTCTCTACATGTTTGTTTCTGCCCCTGCATGTGTAATTTCATAAAATTTAAGAAACCATCCTGAATATTACAGTTTTAGTTCATAATACTAGGCCTGCTGAGAGCTCTGTTGCTGATGTCATGAGAAAAGGCCCTAATTTGGTCTGATTCCAAAATGAGGACTAGGTCACCAATCTTCTTATTGGGATTTAGCAATCCTTTGGTGGTTGGGGCTTTTTTCTGTTTAGATTAGTGCTGGCTTTTTAGGATTGTGAGCTCAAGGGTTATTAAAAATAAACTCTTGGCCCCAATAGAAAGTGTGCCATATTATACAATGTAACTGACACTTGTATGATTGTTACTATAATATACAAAAGTGTGAGACATTGA